CGGTGCCTACTGTTCGCTTGACTAAATTATTTATCTCTTCAATCTATCTGCCAATCTCGCTGGCTTTCTTTGCCAGGCTTATATACTAGAAAAAAAGAGGGCGCCTCGAACAAACTAGAGTTTCCAGGAAAATTCATGATCCTTCTAGAAACTCCAGCGCGCATACTTTCAGCGTCGCGTGACTTCCGCTGTCGTAACAATATACTCTTAAGTTTTAAATGAAACTAAATAACTCATAACCTTTGAAATGGACGAGGTGCCAATTACTGCCAGGAACACCTGAAATAATAACTAATGCATCTACTTAAGATGTAGTAAAATATAAGTTAACCATATCTTCAACATGAACATACCTTCTGCTGCACAAATATCGTTATTGAAACAACATTTGATGTGATTTGGTTGAGTTGGACAAAGTCCACTTTTGTAGTCTCCATGAGCACAGCAACTTGTGTCAATACACACACCAGCACGACCATCAACTACCCTGTCTTTACACGGTGACTCATTATATGCTAGAGAACAAATAAAATAGTAAAGTTTTTGTTTGTGAGACTATGTAGACAGAAAAGAAAGTTAGTATTAAGTAGTTTAAATGAAATCTATTTTGAAAGATCAAGCTCCCTAAGGATTAGTTTAACATGATTTTGTAGATAATTTTAACCTTTGATAACGCGTAACAGACGGAAGATCACCTGATATGTTAGGGACATTTAAGAAATTTATAAGTAAGAGAATGTTTGCTTTCTACCAAAGACTTTGAGAAAACTGTGATACATTTTGTTTCTCACAATCATATAGGACTTTCAACTTCTGAAAAAAATTATTATTAATAATTTTTCAAAAGAAAAACAACAATACATTTTATATTCTAGTGCTCAATCTGTTGTTGTTTTCCCAAATGTTTCATCATTTAAAAAAAAAAAACCACAAAATCAGTATTTTAGCAAAAACCCAACATCTTTAGAACTGTAGGTAATTTTGTGATTGATACCTTTCTGGAAAAGATAGTAGCCGAGAAAAGTGTTGTAGTACAGATTCTACAAATAAAAATACACCAAGAGAAAAAAAATAAGACAATGCAATAAGCCTGAATAAGAACTAAAAATGAAATAATAATTAAAAAAAACATTAGCTAAGCTGAAACATAATTATATCGAAATAAAGCCAAGAAATACGATTTAAACAAATTAAAACAGGGGTACAAGCGCTCTTGATTCTAAAAATAAACGAATAACAGGTTCAGTAAAAAGTAAAATTTCGAGGTACTGAAAGTATTTTCATCATCGGTTATCAATATGGGACTTGGCGTGGCTTATCGATTCTTATGTCTTCTTTGTGAATCCGAAGATTCTCGTTTCGGTCCAGTCTTTGGGGCTGTTGGTGTGCTATAACAGTGACGGTGATATCCCCTGTTCAATCAGGAAAGAGTAGATCACAAGACTTGGCGGTGATTCTTGTTACATCCTTTCATATAACCCTGTGTGTAGCTTTGCGCAATATTCTGAAACAAACTAAACAGTCATAATTTTAAGAACATTACTTTCATTAAACACTTATAAATATACTAACCATCAGCAGTGAATTTGCCCAAAAAGCAAACAAGTACAACCCGATATAGCATATTATACTCGTTTTGGACAAGAAACTTAGTTTTACAACGAATGTTATTCAGGTTTTAACAACTCCAGTATTTATAAAGAAGAGGTACTAAAAATTCCCAGCATGCATAGCTAGATACAAGGTTATTCACATGTTATTTATAACTAATTGCGCTTTCAACGACTAGCACTGATGCTGCAAGTAATTGTGCCCTGGGCTATAACCAAAGCTACAATTCAAGTCGTATCTATAGCTCTCAAGTCTCTCTTGGGAGGAAGGTGGTTCAATGGTTTCTTGCTTCGGACTCGTAGTTGTATGGTTGCGTGTTTGAGCTCTCTCGTGACTTGTTGTTGTGTCCTTGAGCAAGACACTTTTCTCCAATTGTTTCAGTCTACCAAGCTGTATGGTGAGTACCTGCGATGAACTGGCATCTCGTCCAGGGGAACGTCACCAATTCCACCAGCTTGTGCCTATAAAAACCGGAATTCAACACCGATTCCTTAGTGCCGTCTAAGATGGAAAGGATTTGACCTGACCAAAGTTATCTCAATCAATCTCGTACAAGTTGTGCATTCATATAAACAAGCAACGTGAAGTAGTAGAAAACAGGAAAAAAGTGCTTTAAGACTTCATACATTTTATTTAAAATGTAGGACGTCTCAGAAACGAATTACAATAAAGATATACTGCGTTTAATTCCACCGTAAAAAAGTTAACTCTCTATGAAGTGTGTATCCAATGATTGATGTTTCCCGAATAGTTCTTGCAAAAACTCGTCCCCCACTTTGGGCCGTGTGTGCGTTACAATAGTAAAGGTCAAATCCCACTATTCGAACAGATAAGAATAGCCCCAAAATTTGCTGAAGGGACTGTTGCCCAGCTGCCTTCTCTATAGCTTATCAGCTCAAAATTAGGGACGGGCATGCGCAGAATTCTTGTGTAGCTTTGAGTGAAATTTTGAAACAAACGAATAACTAATCCATCACATTAATGAAATCATCAGTCATGTGAGTATGAAAAAAGATTCGCTTAAATTCACAAAATTTCAACACTTTTTTTTTTCAGCAGACATACCGCTGTGCTACTGGGGGGGGGGGGGAAATATTGTGAAACTTTTAATAAACATACACAGTTTATTTTGTAGAATATTAGACAACGCTGAATTGTTGTTCAATACCATTTCAAAATAAGAACTTAGAAGTTAATTTCTTCTCTGACTGTATTTCGTCCAGTCTGGTTTTTGTATAAAAGAACAGGGTGAGCAAGGCCTGGTAGTTAGCGTGCTGGCTTGTGGAGCTGAGCTAGTGTGGTTCGTGTCCATTTATTTTTTGGAACGTCACTCTTATAACACACCCGCAGTCCCAAAGTGCAAACCGCGATTTTTGTTGTTGTTGTTTTGAAATAAATGGACACGAACCACACTAGCTCAGCTCCACAAGCCAGCACGCCAACTACCACGATTTTTGTTGTTGTTGTTTTGAAGCAGCCCAAGATTTGGCGGTGGGTGGTGTGATGACTGGCTACTTTTCTTCTAGTTTATCACACAAAAATTAGGGACGGATATGTGCATATAGCCCTTTGATTAGCTTTGCGCAAAATCCAACAAAAACAAACAAACGTAAAGACAATCCGTGATGGATGTACTTGTAACACATCCACATGTTTCAAATCATAACCACCAGGAGAAGGTGATCGATTCTTCAACTGACAGTCATGCTAAAAGTAGTTGTTTTACAGAATACTGCCTGATTACCTCATCTAATCGTTATTTCATACGTTTAGCTTTTGGGAAATTTTTGCATTTTAAACTATCATAGTAAGTGCTGTCTAATGGAAGTGAAAATACTTTTCGAGTATTACTACATTTGTTTGATATTTTATTAGATATGAAACGGCTATCCTAAAATGAGGTACCCCATCGTATTAAAATATGTGTAAACTATATCCCTTGTTATGCCACAGCATTGATGAGAGCAGAAAAAAAAACTAGTGAGAAACAACACGTGCCCCAAAATAAATACTTTTAGACATTGAGGTCCCTCGCTGAGACAGCAGTAGCTTTAAGCACTTACAGCGCTAAAATCCGAGGTTCGATTCCCCGCGGTGGACACAGCAGATAGCCCAATGTGGCTTTGTTCTAAAACAAACAACAATATAGACATTATAGTAGTTTCTGTACTCACAGTGTTATTGTGTTATTTGAATCTGAGTTTATTGTTACTATTCTAGTCCATATGTCTATCCAGTTGGACTTTTTGCCTAGTGAGAACTGGAGACGGTTTGTTTTGAATTTCACGCAAAGTTACACGAGGGCTATCTGCGCTAGCCGTCCATAATTTAGCCCTGAAAGACTAGAGGGAAGGCAACTAGTCATCACCCTCTACCGCCAACTCTTGGGCTACTCTTTTACCAACGAATAGTGGGATTGACCGTCACATTATAACACCCCTACTGCTGAAAAGGCGAGCATGTTTGGTGGGACGGGGATTCGAAACCACGACCCTCAGATTGCGAGTCAAGAGCCCTAACCACCTGGCCATGGCGGGCCAGCTGGAGACGTTCTTGAAAGAATTGATTTTTTTAAAATAAACAAGATATAATACACTCCTCCTTATACAATATTAATTGTTTTCTCACTGTCATAAAGTGATCACATCAACATAATTCGCAAATGATTTGGTGTACTCATGAAGAATAGAATTTGCCATTCGCGGAGATCGAACCTTTAAATTTTACATTAAAGCCCTGAGCCACCGAAGCAAACGTTTATCCGTACTAATTATTGTGTTACTTTTTAATTAGGATAGTTATTGGCATAATTCCATCGAAATGTACATACTGTCTTAGTGAACTTAAATAGTTCTGATATACAGGGTGTCCCAAAATGAAGAGCTTTAAAAATTATCGTAAAGTAATACAGGTGAAAATAATTAGGTTTAAGGAATGCGTGAAACACGTGATTAAGTTGATTTTCTTCACCACTGTTTCTCAGTGAATTACAACATGGGCACCGACACCACATGCAAAATGTCAAGTTCTTATTCAATGTCACGCCGGGTATTATTTAACATGCAGTCTAGTATATCACCACACTCAAAATCTCAAGTTGATATTCAATGTCATGCCGGGTATTGTTTAACATGCAGTCTAGTATATCACCACACTCAAAATCTCAAGTTGATATTCAATGTCATGCCGGGTATTGTTCAACATGCAGGCTAGTGCATCACCACATGCAAAATGTCAAGTTGTTATTCAATGTCCCGCCGGGTATTGTTTAACATGCAGGCTAGTGCATCACCACACTCAAAATCTCAAGTTGATATTCAATGTCATGCCGGGTATTGCTCAACATGCCCGCTGGTGCATCACCAAACTCAAAATGTCAAATTGATATTCAATGTCACGCAGGGTATTGTTTAAAATGCCAGCAGTAACTGTGGCTGGTGCATCACATATGGGGGGGGGGGGGAGAATTCACTTAGGATGCGATGAAGTACTTTCTTGTTGAATTAAGGCCGAAAGGTCCTTTGAACCTGCTCAATGGATTAGTTTTCAGCATACAGGAACACGCACCGCGCCTTTCCCTTCGTTGTCGCCCTCCTTGATCGAACAACGCTCACTGGGTTGGCCCAAGGTGAAGGATAAAATAAAGTCGTTGAAAGGTCACACACCTGCCATCTGGAAGAAAAAATAAACTTGTTGAGAATATAAATGTGCTATCTACTCGTCTGAGCTTTCATCCCATTGGTTGTTAAATAAACTATTCAATGATTTCAGTAGGGTTAACTAGGTTTACTGACTTTTATGCCATAGGTTGACTGATTGTGTTATCAGTTGGGTGGATGTAGAAGGCTTTTTTTATCTTTTTCTCGTGTGTAGTTCATGCTTCACATTTTTATTGTTAATCGAATTTATTGTATGGTTTCTTTCTGTCATGATGAACTATTATAGATAGATCGCTCTTACAGAATTGTGTATGGATTTTACAGGGGATGTCTTAAATTATGTTTCCTCCTTTCCATTGGGTTTGCAAGCTATCGTATTACGTCACGTTAAATTATGTTTCCTCCTTTCCATTGGGTTTGCAAGCTATCGTATTACGTCACGTTAAATTATGTTTCCTCCTTTCCATTGGGTTTGCAAGCTATCGTATTGTGTCGTGACGTCTGAATACTGTTCAGAATTTGTGCTGTTTACATATCCTTTTTTATGTTTTTTGGAGAAACTTTTGACACAGAGGAATATAGCTGAGTGTGTGTGTGTGTGATTTTCTTCTTCCTTACTGTTGGTACTCGTTTTCTTTATTTTCTTATTTATCAACTGCCTGTCAAGTAGAGCTAGGATGATGTTTCTTTCATTCTTCTTCTGTACCACAAGTGTTGTTCCTTTTAAAGACTAGGCCATCTATGACACCTTCCTTTGTAACGTCGAGTTGGTTTACTTTAACAGTGAGGTGTTTACCCGTATTTGTGAGTTTCCTGTAAACCTTTGCTGTATATGTGTTATGTGTGTTGGTGATCGTCATGTCCAGAAATGAGAGTTTGTCATCTCTCTTCTCTCCTATTTCTGTCGTGACTTAATAGTATCGCTAGATGGTGCATGAGTCCTACAATCTTATCTGCAGTATGTCACAATAATACCAAATCCTGGTTCCCAGAATGGTTAGTCTGAGGACGTTATTTTCAAAGTGTTTCCCACACCGAAACTTTCTGAGCACTTCTTTGAAGATGCTAGCACATTAGCTGCCGAAACACAGGAGATAAACTAGTTAGTAATAAGTAGGTAATCAAAAAGTAACTAATTAGTAATCAGACCTGAGTAATTCTATAACTTACTACCCTTAACCATATTGAAATAACTAACTATATTAGGGTGATTGGGTTTTACTTGCTTATAAATAAAGTGGTAAATAAACCAAACGTTCTTAATGTAGCTGAAAGTTGGTATTATCCAACAAATAATTACATAGGTTACTACTCGTAGTAACGATTGTATTAACATTGTTAACTTAAATTAATTCTCATGTATATAGACACTAGCAAGTAATATCAGATAATCGACACTAAATATGGTTTTATCAAACTGTGCTATAGTTATTAAGTTAACATGGTTTT